CCTCCGGGGCTCTGCTGCGGGGACCCCGCCGCGTCCCCGTGACTGGGAAGCGGGCGCGCAGGAGGCCGGCAGCAGCCCTGGGGCCGTCCCCCACCCCCCCGCGGAGGATGGCGCCAGCTGGTCCCCAACCCAAGAACTGGGGAACGAGGACCCCCGACGTGCAGGCTCCTGCGGGGCAGACTACAGCGGGGACGGAGATCCGGGTTACGCAGGTGCCGCCCCAGCCCCGCCGTCCCCGCCTCTGAAGGCGGCCCGCGCCGCACCGGGGTCCAAGCGCTGAAGGCCTCTGGAGGGGCGGGGCCACGCGGGGGCGGGGCCACGCGGGCGGGGCTGGCGGCGGAGATCCAATCCCGTCCTGCAGCTCCTCAGGGGCGTGGCTGTGAGGTGGGCGTGGTCTCGCGGTGACGCGACTGGGTGGACCCAGCGCGGGTTAAAGGCGCCTCCCGGGCGGCGGGCCCAGCCTCCGCGCCCCTGCCTCCCCGGCTCGGCCTCCGCGCCCCTGCCGGCCTGCCGCCATGGCCTGGTCCCTCACCCCGCGGCTCCCGCAGCTTCTGCTCCTGCTCGCGGTCCTCGCCGCGGCGCGGGCCGCCTTCGTGGAAGCCATTTCCGAGGGGACGGACGCCTGCCAGGTAGGGGCGTCGGTGCCCAGGCGGACAGAGGGGTCGGCGCCCCGGGCGGACGGCGGCCCCGGCGCTCGCTGCCCCCGACTCCCGCGGCCCCAGACCAGCGCCCGCGTCTCAGCCGGGCTGACCCCGGGCCTCGCTGCCCGCGCCGGCGTCCCGGGCCGGACGTCCGCGGGGTCCCCATGGGTGAGGGGCGCCCGGCCCGCCGGCCGGCCGCATTTCGGGCGGGCCCGCCGCAGCCTTGGGGGCTCGGGCGGAAGTGAGCGCGGCCGGGCGCTGCCCGCGGGAGGAAGGGTAAACACGGTGCGGGCGTCGCGATAAGGAGCAGCGGCTCCGGCGACGCCCCGCGCGGGCCGAAGGCGGGGCCGGGCCGCGCCGACGCGCACCTGCGGGGGCCGGGCCGCCTCGGGGTGGCGGGGTGGCGGGGCTGGCGGCGTGGCGGGCCTCGCTGGCGGGAAGTCTGCGGTTCCCCGGGGCCGGCCGTGGTTCGCGGGAAGTCTGCGGTCCCCCGGGGCGGGACGGGGTTCGCGGGAAGTCTGCGGTTCCGCGCGACTGGGCCTTGATCCCAGGCCCGGGCGCTGGGGGTTCCCAGTTCCCCCAAGGGAGCCCGGGGCGCGGGCGCCGCCCGGCTCCTCCGCGCCGGCGCTCGGCCGCCTGAGCCAGGGCCGCGGCCGCCGCCTTCTCTGCCTTCGGGGCTTTCCCGCCGCGCTCAGCCTCCCGAGTCGCCGCGGTTGCGGGCGCGGGGGTCCCGCGGGCCGCGCCCCGTCACCCTCTCTGCAGCCCCAGGGCTTCTGCCTGCGCGGCGCCCCGCGCGCGCGCTCGGCCGGCGCGGTGAACGTGAGCCTCTACTACGAGTCGCTGTGCGGGGGCTGCCGCGAGTTCCTGGTGCGCGGCCTCTTCCCGACCTGGCTGATGGTGCTGGAGATCCTCAACGTCACGCTGGTGCCCTACGGGAACGCGCGGGTGCGTGCGGGAGGCCGGGGGTGGGGGGGCAGCGGGGGGCCGGGAGCGTGGGGGACAGCGGGGGCGCTGGGTCCGGCGACGCGGGCTGCTCTCACTCGGCGCGGGTCCCCAGGAGCGCAACGTGAGCGGCTCGTGGGAGTTCGAGTGCCAGCACGGGGAGCGCGAGTGCGCGCTGAACAAGGTGGAGGTGAGCGGCCGGGGGGCGGGGCGGGGCGGGGCGGGGCGGTGCGTGGCGGAGGCGGGGCCGGGAGGGGCGGTGCCCGGGAGGAGCTGGGGCGGGCTGAGAGGAGTCGGGGGCGGGGCCCGGGATGAGCTGGGGGGAGGAGTCGAGTCGGGGCCAGGCGGGGGCTCAGTTTCGCCAACTCCCCACCCTGTCTCGCCCTAGGGCCTGCGTGCTGGATCTGCTGCCCCCCGACCCGGCCTTCTGACCGTGG